GCACTAATTCTATAACACCAAATATCCACGCAGGTTCAAAGGTTCAGTTTTGAACACAGTTTTTGCTGGCTTCCAAATGCCCTGTGAGGGCAACAGCAAACCAAGGCCCTCTGACCCCTTAGTCTGGTGGCTCATGCAGCCCGAAGCAGATTCTGTGCTCAAATTAAATCGCAAAGGCCCTTGAGGAACAAGGTGAGGGGCGGAAAATGGCTGCAAGGGTGACTTATCTAACCCCTTTCTGGCCTGGGGATGGGGCTGTGGAAGGGGTGGGGGCCTCTTGCTTCACTTTGTCAAAGGGAGAGAAGGTGTCTTGAACAAGGAAAGGAACTTGCGAGGGGCCTGCAACAAGCTGGGGGTCTGCACTAGGGAGTCTGCAGACCCCGGTCCCTCCCTGCAGTCCTGCGGCATCAGGCACGGCCTAGAAGACCATTCTGGAGCCGGGGTGGGGTGCAGGGATCATACAAAAATGCCCCACAGGGATTTCAGGCAGGGAATCTGTCTTGTTCATCTCTAGCACAAGTAGAATCTCAATGAATGTGTGGAGAATGGATGGAAGAGTCAGCCCATTAGAAGTGAAAAAATATTCATTTAACAAACATTTGTGTTTGCCATGTGCCTGCCATTATTCTAAGTGCTTGACATACACAACTCACTTAATCCCGGTAAGAAGCCTGTGAGTCAGTACTGTTGTTATCCTCATTTTGGAGATGAGGAACCTGAAGTACAGAGAGGTTAAGTAATTTGTCCAAGGTCGCACAGCTGGTAAGGGCAGAGCTGGGTGAAGAAGTTAATGCAGCCTGATTCTAGAGTCCACGCTCTTGGCTGCAAGGTATGCAGCGTCTCCAAATCGAGGGGCATTGCTCCTAAAAGGACATGGCCTTGCCCCCATCATAAGGACATGTCTACTGATCAAACCTTGTGTCCCTCAGCACATCCTGCCCTGGGGTATCTCACACATTCCCCACTCTTTTCCCTGCCTCACCCCCTACCCCAGCCCTGACACCCGTGGGAGGAGGGAAGGGTTTCCCTGCAGGAGATTCGGGACCTTTGGGGCCGGTGGCACCAGTGGAAGTTACCCTGAAGCAGAGTCCTTCAACTTCAGAATCAGGAGGCCAGATTTTAGGGCTGGGAGCAGGCACGAGAGAGCTGTCAGGAGACTCGGGTTTCCTTCCGGGTTGAGGATCTAGAAAGGAAAGAGGCTGGCAACTGGGCCAGACGCCAGGTCAGGGCTGGAGCCTCTACTGTGTGTCTCCAACACCTGTGCGTGGCAGAGGTGAGCCAGGACTGGAGGAATGCCAGGGATGTGCTCACTGCCCAGGTGGGCGCGATGCTTCAAGGGCATGCGCTGGTCACTTTGGCTGTGGCTCCGGACGCCTGTTGAGTCAGGAAGTGACTCAGGTCTCAGCTGCCGACACTGACCCCTGCCTCGGGCCTGTGTTTACTCAGCAGCCTGGCAGCCTCAGACGGAAGCACCCTGAGGATTCAGTCAGGGAAGTCACGGAACGGGACAGTGGGAGGAGGGTCCTGGATGCCCTGCCTGCCCCAGCTCCCAGACTCTCTTCTCCTTGAGTTCGAGGTCACTTTGCTCTTCTCCTCCCCAGCCCCTGACCCAACGTTGCTTGTTGGTTTCTGCCCTATTAACGTGGAGGCAGGGGTTCCGGAAACCAGCTTTGGAATGAGACCTGAATTTCTGTCCTGGTTCTTGCTACTACCTGCTGTGTGATGTTGGGCGAAGTTCCTTTCCCTCTCTGAGCTTCAGTGTTCTCTTTGTAAAATATTAAAGTATGACAAGTATATTTAAAGAGTCTGAGGAATGTATCATTCCAAGTACAGTGTAAGTATATTCCTCACAGCAGCCCCATGAGGAAGGGGACTTCACTGCCTCCAGTCAGAGAGCACCGAAACGCGCCTGTGGGGACTGCACTGAGTTTACTGCTCGCTGCCGTGAGGGAGAGCGTGCACCGTGGGGCTCGTGGGTGTCTCAGGAAGGGGGTGTCAGAAAGAACTTAGAAGGTTTGCCCTTGTGTTAGGTGATCTGGAGGGCGTAAGGCAGCGGGGCTTTGTTCCGGATCGCGCGCTGTCAGGAAGCGGAGGTGACACTATGGTTGCGTATCTTAATAAATCTTACCCAGAAGGAGGGCAGACTGGAACTAGGCCAAAGCTAGGCAAAAGCTACAACTAGTAAAGAAGCGGCCTTCGCTCAGATTAGCTGTACAGGGGATGTTGGGTCATTTTTGTGGTTTGAACAATATTCATGTTTTGTCTGTGTTCAGATACGATTATGGAGTCGTCTTGATCCACACTGGTCACAGATGGCCTTGTCTGATGCCGATGTCTTTGAAATCATCTATGCTCAGCAGACGCACACTAAGACTGAGCTGTGCCAGGCCAGCTCTGAGCAACCACGTCCTGGCTGGTAGAACCGGGCCGCTCCCAGCTGTCAGGGCTACTTCGGTCTGTCCCAATATTATTGTACCCTAGTACTGATGGAGAGATCAAGGCTCAGAGAGGTTAAGTAATTTGCCCCAAGTCACACATAACTAAGAAGGCGGCGACCATGACCTTCAAGCCGCGTGTCTGCCTCCTGAGTCTGCACATACAACCACCGACTAGAATGCCTGGTGCCCAGCAAGTACCTGGAAGTGGCTTGTTGCTGTAGTGTGTCTTCCTAGCCAGGCTGTGAGCCTCTGGAGGGCAGGCGCATGGTTTGGGAACTGAGGACTTCTTCGAGATCGAGACAAAGTCCCACATGATTATGAGCTGTCATGTCCCCATCCCAGCTAGCCGGACTCCATCTTGCCTCAGGAATACGGCAGCTCCACAAATGATAAGCTGCCCTCTCTGTCCCAAACAGCAGGGCCAGCACTCACGTCCTCACCGCCACTGACTACGAGTCTGCCACAAAAATGAGAAAGCACGACACACCTGGAGTCCCCGGGGGTGGAACAGGCATGGGAGCCCGAGAGCTCTGGCTCCAGAGCTGAGAGATCCCCACGCTTTGGGGCTTTCAAAACTCCACAAAATCACCAAAATTGCAAGGAGGCAGGGAGACACAGAAGACAGACTCTGCGTTTGTGGGCTGTGCTGTGACTTGTTAAGCTGTGTGATCTCAGACAAGTTAGTTGGCCTAAGCCTCAGTTTCCTCATCTGTAAAATGGGAGTGGGTTATAATATCCACCTCACGGGGCCATCAGGAAAACTAAAAGAGATGACAGGAGAAGTGTCTAATTTGGTGCCTGGCACCTAGTCGGCCTAACCAGAAGCGGCCCCCCGGTGGAATCCACTCCAACTCACATCCAATTCCTTTATTAAGTTTTTACCAAACACCCAGCCCACAGATTCATTTGTCTGTTCATTCAACATTTATTCATTGGGCATCTACTATGTGCCTGGGACTGGTCTGGGTGCAGGGAATGTAACAGAAAAGGAACAGATAAAGAAAGACATTCTAGTGGGGAGGCAGATGAAAAACCCATGAACAACTGTGTAGAATTAGGCTGAACCATATAAAATTGCTGATATTTAATCATTTCATGTGGTTCAACCCAAGGTACCGGCAGATGGAATTAAGTGCCAGGAAGAA